ATGTGTCTTCCATCTATCCAATTTCTTATCACATTTGTATAGTACATCATTTTTAGAGCATTCGCAAAGTCACAGTGACATTGGGTACCGCGGGCGCATCAAGGTTGAGGAGGTCGTGGGAGCTATGAGTAAGATGAGTAGGGGTAGAGCGACCGGGCATTGACGAGATTCCGGTAGAATTTTGGAAGTGTGTGGGGAAAGTAGGTTTGAAGACGTTGACTAGGTTGTTGAATGTTATTTTTAAGGCGAAGAGGATGCCGGATGAGTGGAGGTGGAGTACGGTGGTCCCATTGTATAAGAACAAGGGTGATATCCAGAGTTGTAACAATTATAGGTGTATCAAATTACTGAGCCATACTATGTAAGTGTGGGAGAGGGTGGTTGAAGCGAGGTTGAGGATGACGGTGTCCGTTTCTGACAACCAGTTTGGGTTCATGCTGGGTCCTTCTACTACAGAAGCTATACACCTTGTTAGGAGGTTGGTTGAATAGTACAGAGATAGGAAGAAAGACCTGCACATGGTGTTTATTGACATAGAGAAAGCGTATGACAAGGTTCCTAGAGAAGTTCTTTGGAGAAGCTTGGAGGCAAAAGGCGTGTCGGTTCCCTACATTATGGCGATTAAAGACATGTATGATGGGGCAAAGACTCGGGTTAGGACAGTAGGAGGCGACTCTGAGGATTTTCTGGTTGTCATGGGGTTACACCAAGGTTCTGCGCTCAGTCCGTTCTTATTCCGTATTCGCCCTGGTGATGGACGCGTTAACACACCACATTCAAGGGGATGTGCCATGGTGCATGCTATTTGCCGATGACATAGTTCTGATTGATGAGTCGCAAGCCGGTGTTAACGAAGGCCAGAGGTTTGGAAACATGCTCTTGAATCTAAGGATTTTAAGCTTAGCAGGACGAAGACGGAATACCTGGAAGTAGGGGGAAATGGGCGTGGATGTGAGGCTTGAATCACAGGTCATCTCGAGTAGAGGCAGCTTCAAGTACCTTGTGTCGGTTATCCATAGGGGAAGGGAGATTGACGAGGATGTCACACACATCATTGGGGTAGGATGGATGAAGTGGAGGTTAGCATCTGGAGTATTGTGCGACAAGAGAGTGCCACTGATACTCAAAAGTAAGTTCTATAAAGCGGTGGTTAGACCGGCCATGATGTATGGGGCTGAGTGTTGGCCTATTAAGAAGTTACATATCCAGAAGATGAAGGTAGCAGAAATGAGGATGTTGAGGTGGATGTGCGGGCATACTAGGATGGATAAGATTAGGAATGATGATATTCGGGAGAAGGTGTGCGTGACTCCCATTGATGACAAGATGCGGGAAGCGAGGCTCAGATGGTTCGGGCATGTTCAGACGAGAAGCCCAGATGCTTCGGTAAGGAGGTGCGAACGGCTGGTTGTGGAGGGCACGAGAAGAGCTAGAGGGCAGCCTAAGAAGTATTGGGGGAGGTAATCAGGCAGGATATGGTGAGGCTTCAGATTTCCGAGGACATGGCTCTTGATAGGAACATGTAGAGGTCGAATATTAATGTTGTAGGTTAGGAGGTAGTTGAGTCTTGTCTTATGTCATAACTTTGTGGGATTAGTTTGGTAGGGATACTATTTCGCTTTTCCTTTGTATCTTTCTTCTGGATTTCATGTTCCTATTTTCCCTATTTTTCCTATTATTTACTTATTTGTCTCCTTTTGTCCTTTCGTCCTCTTGAGCCGAGAGTCTTTCGGAAACAGCCTCTCTATTCCTTCGGGGTAGGGGTATGGTCTGCGTACGCACTACCCTCCCCAGACCCTACTAGTGGGATTTCACTGGTCGTTGTTGTTGTTGTTGTATTTGTATAGTACATCATTCTATATCTCCAAAGAAATTTTGCTCCTCAAAGAAATTTTGTAAAGATTTGGGCTTGCGGTACCTTTAGTGCTATGGTAGATTAGTGAGTCTTTAATCAAAAGCATCCCTCTTCTTTCACTTCAACTTCTTTTACATCCTTATAATATTTCACTTTAATCGAAAACAAAACGTCCCTCCGTAAAATTTCCGTCTACATTCGACGGATCTTTCGTGGCCTCTATATTTTTTCCCCTTTTCTCACAAAATCTTTCACCCTCTTCCTCCTTTGACAGCAAAAAATGACTTTTGGAAAGCTCGAAATGGGGTTTTTAATCGTTGAACTACCTGATCTTGGGTGAAAGTTTTACCTTTCATTGTAAATTTGCTGCTGGATCGGCGGCACATGTCTAATTGCAGACCATTTTCTACCCAATATAGAAAAAGGCATCAAAATCAATTTAAAAATTCATATCCTGCAAAAAAAAATTGTAGAAAAAAGAAATTAGAAGTTTTTACTGATTAGTAATAGGAAATCTCTTCCATCTCAAAAGGAAAAAAAATCTCCATCTCAAAAAGTAATAGGAAATCTGAAACGGTAAAAAAGGCAGCTCGGTGCACTAAGCTCCCGCTATGCGCGAGGTTCGGGGAAGGGCCGGACCACAAGTGTCTATCATACGCAGCCTTATCCTGCATTTCTGCAAGAGGTTGTTTCCACGGCTCGAATCCATGACCTCCTGGTCACATGGAAGCAACTTTAGCAGTTATGCCAAGGCTCGAAACGGTAAGAAGATAGAAAAATAGCAGATTAAGAAAGAACTTTTTACAATGGATTTGGTGAAACGGGAAAAAACCAAAGACGAAAAAAGATGTAACAAAGAAGAGCTTGCCAGAGGTGAAGGCTCTCCCTTCTCTGGGCAAGGAAAGTTGACATAAGAATAAAGGACCCTTCAACTGTGGATGGAGATATTAATGGAGGGATGTTTTAGGTTAGTTGTGGTAAACTTAAAGGATGCTTTTTTGGTTAAGTAGAATATTATAAGGATGCAGTGGAAGTTGAAGTGAAACAAGAAGGATGATTTTGGTTAAAAACTCATAGATTAGTAGCGTATTTTCTATTCATTTCATTTATTCCTGAGCTTTTAATCTATTTTAACTTCTATTATGTCCATTCTGTAATCAGAGAGCAGTGATTTTGTCCCTTCTATTGTATAGTAAGCAATTTCTCTGCCAAGAATGGGCAAAAACTCTGATTTTGGGCTTTCTTTGTTGGTAAACTACATGCATCATGAGAAAAAAGTGGATTGAAAAGATTCATATTGGTTATGCTCCTTGGGTTTTATAATTCAAAGTTACTTTTGTCTCTGAAGTTTATTCTTCAACATGATTATTAGATTTGTTGTTATGATTTGCTTGTTCTGGAGAGGTTGATAATTGTGCTTCCTTGGTGCTGTTAAAGATTTTTGGATTATGCCTAGTATTCAACAGTTTGCTTCTCTATGTGCAATTTACACCTTGTCTGGATGTGATATGCCAGCAAATTGTGCCACCAGTCTTAAATTCCTTCTCGGATCAGATAGCAGGTTCGTATTACGCCTGTGAAGCTCTGTATAATATAGCAAAGGTGAGATAGATAAGGATTGTATTTTGCAATTTTTTACTTTTTTTTGGACTTTAACTGTGCTACTTTTGCAGGTTGTAAGAGGAGATTTCATTGTGTTCTTCAACCAGATCTTTGATGCATTATGTAAGCTTTCAGCAGATTCAGATGCTAATGTGCAAAGTGCTGCTCATCTTTTGGATAGACTTGTAAAGGTAAAACTAAAGATCTTTATGTCATTGGATATTGTACTACTTGCTATTGCATGGCGACAAGACAAAGGATTGGGTGAAGGACAAGAAATAATATATGTATATACGTGTCTTAGGATACGCGCTTTGCGCGTGTATTATATCTCAATAACTATACTCCCTCCGTTTCATATTGTTTGAGGTAGTTTGACTCGGCACGGAGTTTAAGAAAAAAGAAGAAGACTTTTGAAAGTTGTGGTCTTAAAAGCTTAAGCGGTAAAAGGTTTGTAGGGCTATGCCATTTGTGTGGCTATAAAAGCTTCTCGTTAAGGGCAAAAAGGGTAAAATGAAGAGTTTAAAGTTGAATTATTTCCAAATTTAGAAATGTGTCATTTATTTTGGAACAGACTAAAAAGGAAAGTATCTCATTTAATATGAAACGGAGGGAGTATTAGTTTAAAAAATTATATAAATATTATTTAACAATGTATATCTGACATGCAATTAATAAGTGTCACTTCAAAAGTATTTTTAGATTTTGATATTGAATTAAAAAGTATAATATTATGGATATTGGGATAATAGAGAAAAAATTCTAGCCCAGATGAGTTCTCAGTGTCGTATTGCAATTTTTGAGTACTTATGCAAGAATGTCTTATGAAAATTGTGATTCTTTTTACCAATTTAACTCTTACTACTACGCTATAATCGATTTTATTTTATTTTTAGATTTTTTTCATTGCCAATGCTCTTATTATGAAAAAAAATTCGTATACCCTAAGAGTTTAGTCAAGTCAAAAACTAATTTTTTTCATATGATGGATTTTAAAAGGAATCTAATTGCATTTTGTGTTAATTTGTTAATTCAAAAACTTAATATCCAAACAATTGGAACGTCGCCCACCTCAAGTACTTCAATTTCTAAGAAAAGATGTTCTCCGAGCCGTACTTTTTTTCCCTCACCTGAGTTTTGTCCCAATTGGGCTTTCTCAGAGAGGTTTTTAACGAGGCGACAAGGAGGACATCTCGAAGTTTAAGGTTCGAGCAGGATAGATTGCAAGTTGGCAAGTTCATTGTTCGACCCCTCGAATACTTCTCCAGGACGAACAATAAAGGGACTAGATAGACTGGGACTGGAATACCAGCCCGAAAAGCATGTAAACTTCCATATACATATGAAAGTAAAGCATACAAACACATGATGTTCGAATCAAGTTTTAACTCCGCGCAACATTCGACCCCGTTCAAATTTNCACAAACTAAATACGTAGTTACTTTAGTTTTTTTTTTTTTTTTACTTTAGCCAATATAATGGTTAATCCGATTATTGAATGGCTAACAAGTATTATATTTATAATCCGATATTTGATAAATCAAATGGTTAATACCGAGCCCGATAAGCACCCAGTGAACCGTTAGAAGGAGCAAAGACTCTCCCTCTCCCCTTTTTGACTGCACCTCTAAACGAAACCAAAAACCCCAGAAGTAAAAATATTCTCAATTCAATGCTTCGAATTTTCTCTGATTTTGTTTCCTTTTTAGATCTATTTCCTACGGCTTTTCCTTTGATACTTACTGCCCGTATATAGTAAATAAACTGCCTTTAGATGTTTGTGTTGGATAAAAAAGAATTGGGAAATTCCAGGTTTTATTGTTCCTTTTTGTTTTTGTCTGAAGGATCATTTTAGGGTTTTTGATTCATTTGATATGGCTACTACAGAAGCGTTATCTGTGATTCCTGCTTCTGTTTTGCGTAATCTCTCTGATAAGTTGTACGAGAAGCGCAAAAATGCCGCCCTTGAGGTACTTTGTGGTGTTATTTTTAGAGGGCTAATGATTGGATCTTGAGTTTGAATTTCCCCTTCTGTTTGTGCAGTTGGAAGGGATAGTGAAGCAATTGGCTGTGGCGGGTGATCACGACAAGGTCACTTCAGTCATCCATTTGTTGACTCAGGAGTATACATATTCCCCTCAAGCTAATCACCGCAAAGTGAGTTTCTCTTTTTCACATTTTAGGTCAAGATTATAATTTGACTTCATCTTTTTTTGAATTCTGTCTTTGGTTGTTTAGGGAGGGTTGATCGGGTTGGCTGCTGTAACTGTTGGTTTGACTTCAGAAGCAGCGCAGCATCTCGAGGTAAGTGGCATGGCATGTTCAATTTTGAGTTTTGTGCTAATGTGAGGAAGCCTTTGAGCAGTTGGGTTTAGTAATAGGAAGTTGTGTTGTTAGTGGTTCCTCTAAGCCAGAAACTTTGTCAAGGGGCTAAGCCATACCTCCATAGCCATTTACACATTAAACTCTTGCTATGAATTTATAAGTTCCTTATTCCCATGCCCCTACTATCTTACTTGAGGTTACTGTTTTCCATCTCACCAAACTATACCCTTTCTTTTATATGTCTCCATGCCATAAGAAATTTCTCCTGATACCATCCAGTCTCTTCTCCACCTTGGCAGGAAGTGGAATATAACGGACATAACATATGTAGGCAAAGCGTCCAACACAGTATTTACCAAAGTGGTTCTGCCACCAAGTGATAAATAATGTGTCTTCCATCTATCCAATTTCTTATCACATTTGTATAGTACATCATTTTTAGAGCATTCGCAAAGTCACAGTGACATTGGGTACCGCGGGCGCATCAAGGTTGAGGAGGTCGTGGGAGCTATGAGTAAGATGAGTAGGGGTAGAGCGACCGGGCATTGACGAGATTCCGGTAGAATTTTGGAAGTGTGTGGGGAAAGTAGGTTTGAAGACGTTGACTAGGTTGTTGAATGTTATTTTTAAGGCGAAGAGGATGCCGGATGAGTGGAGGTGGAGTACGGTGGTCCCATTGTATAAGAACAAGGGTGATATCCAGAGTTGTAACAATTATAGGTGTATCAAATTACTGAGCCATACTATGTAAGTGTGGGAGAGGGTGGTTGAAGCGAGGTTGAGGATGACGGTGTCCGTTTCTGACAACCAGTTTGGGTTCATGCTGGGTCCTTCTACTACAGAAGCTATACACCTTGTTAGGAGGTTGGTTGAATAGTACAGAGATAGGAAGAAAGACCTGCACATGGTGTTTATTGACATAGAGAAAGCGTATGACAAGGTTCCTAGAGAAGTTCTTTGGAGAAGCTTGGAGGCAAAAGGCGTGTCGGTTCCCTACATTATGGCGATTAAAGACATGTATGATGGGGCAAAGACTCGGGTTAGGACAGTAGGAGGCGACTCTGAGGATTTTCTGGTTGTCATGGGGTTACACCAAGGTTCTGCGCTCAGTCCGTTCTTATTCCGTATTCGCCCTGGTGATGGACGCGTTAACACACCACATTCAAGGGGATGTGCCATGGTGCATGCTATTTGCCGATGACATAGTTCTGATTGATGAGTCGCAAGCCGGTGTTAACGAAGGCCAGAGGTTTGGAAACATGCTCTTGAATCTAAGGATTTTAAGCTTAGCAGGACGAAGACGGAATACCTGGAAGTAGGGGGAAATGGGCGTGGATGTGAGGCTTGAATCACAGGTCATCTCGAGTAGAGGCAGCTTCAAGTACCTTGTGTCGGTTATCCATAGGGGAAGGGAGATTGACGAGGATGTCACACACATCATTGGGGTAGGATGGATGAAGTGGAGGTTAGCATCTGGAGTATTGTGCGACAAGAGAGTGCCACTGATACTCAAAAGTAAGTTCTATAAAGCGGTGGTTAGACCGGCCATGATGTATGGGGCTGAGTGTTGGCCTATTAAGAAGTTACATATCCAGAAGATGAAGGTAGCAGAAATGAGGATGTTGAGGTGGATGTGCGGGCATACTAGGATGGATAAGATTAGGAATGATGATATTCGGGAGAAGGTGTGCGTGACTCCCATTGATGACAAGATGCGGGAAGCGAGGCTCAGATGGTTCGGGCATGTTCAGACGAGAAGCCCAGATGCTTCGGTAAGGAGGTGCGAACGGCTGGTTGTGGAGGGCACGAGAAGAGCTAGAGGGCAGCCTAAGAAGTATTGGGGGAGGTAATCAGGCAGGATATGGTGAGGCTTCAGATTTCCGAGGACATGGCTCTTGATAGGAACATGTAGAGGTCGAATATTAATGTTGTAGGTTAGGAGGTAGTTGAGTCTTGTCTTATGTCATAACTTTGTGGGATTAGTTTGGTAGGGATACTATTTCGCTTTTCCTTTGTATCTTTCTTCTGGATTTCATGTTCCTATTTTCCCTATTTTTCCTATTATTTACTTATTTGTCTCCTTTTGTCCTTTCGTCCTCTTGAGCCGAGAGTCTTTCGGAAACAGCCTCTCTATTCCTTCGGGGTAGGGGTATGGTCTGCGTACGCACTACCCTCCCCAGACCCTACTAGTGGGATTTCACTGGTCGTTGTTGTTGTTGTTGTATTTGTATAGTACATCATTCTATATCTCCAAAGAAATTTTGCTCCTCAAAGAAATTTTGTAAAGATTTGGGCTTGCGGTACCTTTAGTGCTATGGTAGATTAGTGAGTCTTTAATCAAAAGCATCCCTCTTCTTTCACTTCAACTTCTTTTACATCCTTATAATATTTCACTTTAATCGAAAACAAAACGTCCCTCCGTAAAATTTCCGTCTACATTCGACGGATCTTTCGTGGCCTCTATATTTTTTCCCCTTTTCTCACAAAATCTTTCACCCTCTTCCTCCTTTGACAGCAAAAAATGACTTTTGGAAAGCTCGAAATGGGGTTTTTAATCGTTGAACTACCTGATCTTGGGTGAAAGTTTTACCTTTCATTGTAAATTTGCTGCTGGATCGGCGGCACATGTCTAATTGCAGACCATTTTCTACCCAATATAGAAAAAGGCATCAAAATCAATTTAAAAATTCATATCCTGCAAAAAAAAATTGTAGAAAAAAGAAATTAGAAGTTTTTACTGATTAGTAATAGGAAATCTCTTCCATCTCAAAAGGAAAAAAAATCTCCATCTCAAAAAGTAATAGGAAATCTGAAACGGTAAAAAAGGCAGCTCGGTGCACTAAGCTCCCGCTATGCGCGAGGTTCGGGGAAGGGCCGGACCACAAGTGTCTATCATACGCAGCCTTATCCTGCATTTCTGCAAGAGGTTGTTTCCACGGCTCGAATCCATGACCTCCTGGTCACATGGAAGCAACTTTAGCAGTTATGCCAAGGCTCGAAACGGTAAGAAGATAGAAAAATAGCAGATTAAGAAAGAACTTTTTACAATGGATTTGGTGAAACGGGAAAAAACCAAAGACGAAAAAAGATGTAACAAAGAAGAGCTTGCCAGAGGTGAAGGCTCTCCCTTCTCTGGGCAAGGAAAGTTGACATAAGAATAAAGGACCCTTCAACTGTGGATGGAGATATTAATGGAGGGATGTTTTAGGTTAGTTGTGGTAAACTTAAAGGATGCTTTTTTGGTTAAGTAGAATATTATAAGGATGCAGTGGAAGTTGAAGTGAAACAAGAAGGATGATTTTGGTTAAAAACTCATAGATTAGTAGCGTATTTTCTATTCATTTCATTTATTCCTGAGCTTTTAATCTATTTTAACTTCTATTATGTCCATTCTGTAATCAGAGAGCAGTGATTTTGTCCCTTCTATTGTATAGTAAGCAATTTCTCTGCCAAGAATGGGCAAAAACTCTGATTTTGGGCTTTCTTTGTTGGTAAACTACATGCATCATGAGAAAAAAGTGGATTGAAAAGATTCATATTGGTTATGCTCCTTGGGTTTTATAATTCAAAGTTACTTTTGTCTCTGAAGTTTATTCTTCAACATGATTATTAGATTTGTTGTTATGATTTGCTTGTTCTGGAGAGGTTGATAATTGTGCTTCCTTGGTGCTGTTAAAGATTTTTGGATTATGCCTAGTATTCAACAGTTTGCTTCTCTATGTGCAATTTACACCTTGTCTGGATGTGATATGCCAGCAAATTGTGCCACCAGTCTTAAATTCCTTCTCGGATCAAGATAGCAGGGTTCGTTATTACGCCTGTGAAGCTCTGTATAATATAGCAAAGGTGAGATAGATAAAGGAAGTTGTATTTTGCAATTTTTTACTTTTTTTTGGACTTTAACTGTGCTACTTTTGCAGGTTGTAAGAGGAGATTTCATTGTGTTCTTCAACCAGATCTTTGATGCATTATGTAAGCTTTCAGCAGATTCAGATGCTAATGTGCAAAGTGCTGCTCATCTTTTGGATAGACTTGTAAAGGTAAAACTAAAGATCTTTATGTCATTGGATATTGTACTACTTGCTATTGCATGGCGACAAGACAAAGGATTGGGTGAAGGACAAGAAATAATATATGTATATACGTGTCTTAGGATACGCGCTTTGCGCGTGTATTATATCTCAATAACTATACTCCCTCCGTTTCATATTGTTTGAGGTAGTTTGACTCGGCACGGAGTTTAAGAAAAAAGAAGAAGACTTTTGAAAGTTGTGGTCTTAAAAGCTTAAGCGGTAAAAGGTTTGTAGGGCTATGCCATTTGTGTGGCTATAAAAGCTTCTCGTTAAGGGCAAAAAGGGTAAAATGAAGAGTTTAAAGTTGAATTATTTCCAAATTTAGAAATGTGTCATTTATTTTGGAACAGACTAAAAAGGAAAGTATCTCATTTAATATGAAACGGAGGGAGTATTAGTTTAAAAAATTATATAAATATTATTTAACAATGTATATCTGACATGCAATTAATAAGTGTCACTTCAAAAGTATTTTTAGATTTTGATATTGAATTAAAAAGTATAATANTCGTTTTGTTGATTCAAATTTTTAATAATAAAATTATTTACGGTAATTATAATTTTATCTAATAAGAAATCTATTTTCAAATGATAAAAATGTCAATTTGACTTTAATTTTTTGATATGTTGTGTTTGTAGAATCATTTGTGCTTTTGATTATTGCCAATCATTTTGTATCTCTTATATTCTTAAATTATTTTACGGTTATTTGTTCTAATTATTGAGTATACTTTTTAAATATTATAGTATAAGATAAAGTATTCAAACTAATATTGATCATTAGTCACTGTCTGATATATACCTGAAATTTCTTTTTCATGTCTATGATTTCCGTCATTTGACTTTGTTGCATTTGACTTAATATATTTGTTCATCCTTCCAATGGCATAAGCAACTTTAGTTTGGTCTATATAAAGAACATAATAAAATCATTTATCAAAGGGAAAAAGGCCAGATTTGTCCCTCTACTTTAGTAAATTAGCCACGTTTATACCTAATTCTACTATCGGTCCAAATGTGTACCCACCGTTAAGATAGTAGACTAAATTATCCCTAACACTAATAGAAGTCCACTGTGGCAATGTGACCCCTCACTTAATCTGCCAACTGGGCTAATATCAACCCAAATTTTAAAACCCCATGCCCATTTCTTTGACCCAACTATACCACCTTATGGGTCCCACCTTACCCCACCACCACCACCAAGACACCATTTTTCAACTCCCATTTTCCATTTTCCTCAAAACCCAGAAACAGAATTTGGTCAATGTCAGTGGAAGAACCAAAATGGATGATAAAGATGAAATCTTGGTGGGTAATGTTTCAGCGGAATTCCAGTTATCCAAGCAAAAGATTTTATCTTGGGTTTATTGATGTTGTTCTTTATGCTCTTAATATTATTTGGATTGACAATTCCACCGGCTTTGAAAAATTGCTGTATCCACCATTTCAGATAGCCATGAGCTGAATTTTCCGCTTAATTGCTTTACTATTTGCTGTTTGTATGAGTTTCAACACCAACTAGTATTAAAATTCATACAAGCTCCATGAATATTTCTCTATGAAAGCTCTTCGGCAGATCAAAAAAAGTGGACAAAAAATCCCACGAGATTTGAAGATGGAATTCCTTTTCAGTTTTCATTTTTTGATAATCTCAAAAAATTATAGAAGAATGAGCAGAATAAGTAACAGAAGATAAGAGAAAATAAGGGTTCACCGAAAATATTCGCCGGCCCAAACTCCGGTGAGTGCGACCTCCGACCAAAACTCGACGGGTTCTTTTCAGTACCCCATAGGGAGAAAAGCACACAAAAAATGAGATGAAGAAAACATGGGGGTCGTCTGATAAAGCTTTTTCTTGCCAGATCTAGACGTTTTTGGTAGCTCTGTTCGAAACTCCGGCCAAAACCTGGTGGACCTCGCCATATTTGAAGAGAAGAAAAGAGAGAACGTGGTCGGGGGGGGGGGGGGGGTTCTCTGGCTCGTCAGCATCTGCTTTGGCAGAGAGATAGAGACTGAGAAAGAGAGGTGGGACCCATAAGGTGGTATAGTTGGGTCAAAGAAACGGGCATGAGTCTTTAAAATTTGGGTTGATATTAGCCTAGTTGGCAGATTAAGTGAGGGGTCCCATTGCCACAATGGACTTCTGTTAGGGTTAGGGATAATTTAGTCTACTATCTTAACGGTGGGTACACATTTGGACCGATGGTAGAATTAGGTATAAATGTGGCTAATTTACTAAAGTAGAGGGACAAATCCGACCTTTTTCCCTTTATCAAATTAGTAGCAATAAATAATTTTTTTAAAAACACAGGTAATGTACCACTAATCCTTTTTTATAGTTATTAAGTCGTCATGATGTACTACTCCTTCCCGATGGTTTATGATTTTGTTTGCTGATTTTTTGTTATTGGTAGTTTTGTAACGATTCATATAAGGTAAAACTTTAATTGCTTTTAAAGTCTTAATTATTAGGTCTTTTTACCTAGTTTAAATAAGGAATGATTTAGTAAGAATTTTTTAAATTATTTTTATATTCCTACATATTAGGAAAATAACATAAATTACAACTTTATCCATTATAAAATTTATTTTTAAAGGGTAAAAAAGGTCGCTAAGGGGTTTCGTAATATATATATATATATATATATATATATATATATATAAAAAATCTAAAATCAACATGGAATTGAGGGTCTTTGTGGATCAAAGATGAGGCCTGAATGTTTTTAGTTCTTGAGAATAGTTAAGAGAATATAATTCTATTTGTTACGGGTAGATAAGATTGGGTTCCTTCTTTTCTCTCTTTTTACTTATTCTTAGTTATTTCTCGTTCCCATGCATTATTTGATGGACTGGACACTTGGTGACATGGGAGTGCCAGTATTTTCTCTCTGAACTGATCAGTTATTTTAATCAAAAGATGTTCACAAGTTTGATATTTTGACTGATCGTGTATTATTACATTGTTCTGCAACTTTTGTGGGATGCAGGACATTGTCACAGAGAGTGATCAATTCAGGTGAGCTGTTAATACTACCAATATCTTCAAATTGGAATGAATTTACTATTGTCTGGTTGATGTGTCTTGTATGGAAATAGCATTCAATTGATTATTTAATTTCTTATGCAGCATTGAAGAATTTATTCCATTGTTGAGAGAACGGATGAATGTCCTCAATCCTTATGTTCGCCAATTTCTTGTTGGATGGATCACAGTTTTAGACAGTGTTCCAGATATAGATATGCTCGGTTTTCTTCCTGATTTTCTTGATGGTTAGTGCTTGTATATCAAGTTTAAGAGTCCTATGAGATTTAATGCTCTGTTTCCTCACATCAATGTGATCTTACTTGAGTTGATCTACTGCAGGATTATTTAATATGCTGAGTGATAATAGCCATGAAATAAGACAACAGGCTGATTCTGCGCTCTCAGAGTTTTTGCAAGAGATCAAGAATTCTCCAGTAAGATTACTGCCACATGTAGATTGTTAAACTGTTAAATGATATATAATGGTTAGATGGCCAAAAAAAAGGAATGATACAACTTGCAGTTCTTTATTACCCCCTCTGTTCAATTTATGTGTGTTACTCTCCTTTTTAGTATGTTTTTAAAAGAATGCCTCTTTCTATGTTTAGTAACTCTTTAACTCTAACATTCTACATGGCATATTTAAGACCTTAAGATTGAAGGGCATTTTGGTACATTATACATATCTTTAGTTGAAGACACAAGATTTACAAGTCTTCCGCACTTTCTTAAACTTCGTGCCCAGTTAAACTAACAAACATAAGTTGAAACAGAGGGAGTATTATTATAGTGGCCCAGTTATTTATGGCTACTCTCAGGTGTAGCTTGTGTTTATCAGTATTGTTTTAGTAGTTGTGTTTTGCTTTTGATTTATACATGGCAGATGTATCTTTTCTATGGTTTTGTGTCTCCGTCCTCTACAAGTAAGAAAAAATATCTCTTTTTGGTAAATCAAAGATATTTTATTAAAAAGCAAGTCTTAGTATGCCTTTTTCTTGGATTACTTTTTAACTTGAAATAGAACTTCTTTTGAAGTCTGTAGATTATGGTCGCATGGCAGAGATACTGGTACAGAGGGCGGGCTCGCAGGATGAATTTACTCGGTTGACTGCTGTAACTTGGGTAAGGACCTTGACATGTATGATTCATCAAACACCATGTTATGGTTAGCTTCATTTTATATTTTATTCCCCTTGGGTTTCGTTGGTATAAAATAGTTGATAGTTCACTACTTGCTTCGAAGGGGAGCCTTGGAGCAACGGTAAAGTTGTTTCCGTGTGACCTATAAGATCACAGGTTCGAGCTGTGGAAGCTGCCACTAATGCTTGCATTAGGATAGGCCATCTACATCACACCCCTTGGAGTGCGGTCCTTCCCCTAACCCCGCGAGAATGCGGGATGCCTTGTGCACTGGGATGCCCTTTTTTAGTTCTTTACTTGCTTCGATCTGTTATATCAATTTCAATAGACTGCTTTGCTCTACAGATAAATGAGTTTGTGAAACTTGGTGGAGAGCAGCTTGTGCCTTATTATGCTGACATTCTGGGAGCAATTTTGCCCTGTATATCTGATAAAGAAGAGAAAATAAGAGTTGTAAGTACACTGTCTTATGGTTGTAGTACTTTACATTTTTTCCTTCTCATGCCACCTTTTATTTTTTGATGTTTGTGCTTCTTGTTATTCCTTCTGTGTCTCCCTTTTCACTTTTATCCTATTCTCTGCTTGTTCCAATCAGGTTGCTCGCGAAACGAATGAAGAACTTCGAGGCATCGAAACTGATCCAGCCGAGGGATTTGATGTAGGAGCAATCCTCTCCATTGCTCAGAGGTATGAAATTAAAGAGGAAACTATAGTGTTTGATATTTTGAAATAGTTTTCTCTTGATGTTGCATTCACTGTCAGCAATCAAAGTAGTTGTATGACAGTGACAGTGGCTTTTGTAATATTATTTAGGTTTCTTATAAACTTTGTCTTATCTGCTTATCAGGCAGTTGTCCAGTGAATGGGAGGCAACACGTATTGAAGCATTGCACTGGATGTCAGCCCTGTTAAATAGACATCGCTCAGAGGTAGCTGAAAACTTAACATCATGTGAACCATTTTTTTTGTTATTGCATGATGAGTATGCTTTGTCATGGTCATGAAGATGGTTATTTAAGTTGAAACATGGCTCAATATCTTTAATTTACACTACATTATCAGTATGGATGGAGTAATGGGTTTCCCTAGAATCTGGGTAATGGAGCCTGGATTTGTATAAGCACTACTAGTTCATTGTTAGGTGGGAGTGAGTAGTCATAGGAATTATCAAAGACTTCCTACTAGAAAGAGCTGCATTATTGATTCTTGGAACTTACATTTCTTTTTTTCTTCTTAATAACTTTAACTTAAATTACAGAACAAATTCAATTTGTTTAGCATAGGCCATTTTTTTACATCCAGTGGAAGAAAGGTTCCGCATTTTGCCCGTGCTTGTTCTCTCTTCTCTCTCTTCTAGGAGGATAAGAGTGCTGGAGAATGGAACACTAGAGCCTGCATTGCTGTCAGGTGTATTAATGTTGCATATGGTAGTTGTCACAGGGGCATTTTCTGTCTGTCGAAAAACTGCCCATTGTGCGGCAGTCAAGTGTTCGAGGTTTAACACGTAGAATAAATTCAAGGCAGCATAAATAAATAAAGGCACACAGATTTACAGGAACCCTTTCCTAACCTTTTATAATATATGAAATTACAAAGGATTCTCGAGTTTGGCAAGGTGCTGCCACCCTTGGCAGGCACCAACTCACAAAAATAGCCGACACTTGCACGAATCTGCCCTATAAAAGCCCCCGCCTAAGGCCGCTCGTGCTGCCCACTCGTTTGGCAAGGCAATGGCACATATTTTGCCATGCTCAAGCCTTAATATAGACAACCCTATGCCTATACCTTTGCTAAATTCCCTCCCTAGGTACTTAGCCCGTTTTTGGGGCTGCTAACACACATATATATAGTGTAGTCAGCCCAAAAGTGTTTCCTATTTTCAGTTGACATCCCCCAATTGATAGGACATGATCCCCATGATCAAAAACGTGGATGTCATGCCTAGAACATGCCTACAAACGTGCATAGACTCGGCATATAATCAGCAACTCTTGGATAAGGGCAGTTGTAACCGCCCAACTGTATGGCATGTGCACAACACACTTGAAAACCACTCCATGTGCGCTGCATGTGCGCGTTCCTTGGCCAGCTGCTACACGCCCAAGGCTGGCTTTGCGCCCAGCCTTGGCCTTTGACACTGCTCCCGCTCAATGCCATCGCCACAGCTCGTCGCCCATGACTTAGCCGCACGCACGCCCGCTGCCACATTTGCTTGTTCTTGTCAAGTCGCCCCTACTTGATCATGTCTGCCCTTTGCCAATGCCAAGCTGCTTTTGGCATCAAGTCACCAAGCCATGATGCCATTCCCTTTGCTAAGTCGTTTGCCCACAAGTTCCTTAGGTGCCAACCCGTTCACCTAAGTCATGGCAACATCATATTGCAAATGCCACTGCCTTGGCACTAAGCTGTCTCACTTTAGCGCCTAGGTCTTTCCCGTTTTGCCTTGTCAAGCTTCCGTCCAGCCCGCCTAGTTCCGTCAAGGTCTTGGCCTTTGCTTGCACTCAGCCCACTCATGTTTTGGTGTAGTCCGTCACACCTTAGCCCTCAAATAGAAGCATAGTCTGTCACACTTGCCCTTGCAACAGTTTGTTGCCATTGACAACACCCGCATTGTCTTGCATGTTAATTTTCCCCCGTACATAGGCCAATGGCAAGGCCATCATGCCAAAATCCTTGCCACTGCCGCGCCGCTTGCCGATCAGCTTCGTCAAGGGTCTAACAAACCACTCCAACCAGTTGAATTCGACGCCCTCGTCGAATAGATTCCCGCACATGCTGCTATTTGCAAAGACATCACAAGTTCAGCACCCGTTTGAGAATTACGTTGTCCTTGCCCTCAAGTGTAACGTTTTTTGTTTTCTCATTGCATTTCCTGCCCGTCATTCCCACAGCAAATCCAGCACGCCAAGTGATTGATTTGTAAGATCTCACACTGATTTTTGGCACACACAAACTCAAAATTTCTGCATCACTGCCTTCCATGCCTTTTTCTGAATTTCTAAGCCAAGACAGTCCCTCCACGAACAAGCACATTGACCCCTGTCTTGCAGTCTTGTTCATGTCCGTCTCGACCTCATCATGAATCTGGCCCGCTCCGATACCAGTTGTCACAGGGGCATTTTCTGTCCATCGAAACACTGCCCATTGTGCGGCAGTCAAGTCCCCACTTGACATCAGCCTTCGCCCAATTTTCTTTCGCATTCGAGGTTTAACATTTAGAATAAATTCAAGGCAGCATAAATAAATAAAGGCACACAGATTTACGGGAACCCTTTCCCAACCTTTTATAATATATAAAATTACAAAGGAAATTCTCGAGTTTGGCAAGGTGCTGCCACCCTTGGCAGGCACCAACTCACAAAAATAGCCGACACTTGCACGAATCTGCCCTATAAAAGCCCCCGCCTAAGGCCGCTCGTGCTGCCCACTCGTTTGGCAAGGCAATGGCACATATTTTGCCATGCTCAAGCCTTAATATAGACAACCCTATGCCTATACCTTTGCTAAATTCCCTCCCTAGGTACTTAGCCCGTTTTTATGGCTGCTAACACACATATATATAGTGTAGTCAACCCAAAAGTGTTTCCTATGTTCAGTTGACATCCCCCAACTGATAGGACATGATCCCCATGATCAAAAACGTGTAGGACATGTCTAGAACATGCCTAAAAACGTGCAAAGACTCAGCATATAATCAACAACTATTGGACAAGGGCAGTTGTAACCGCCCAACTGCATGGCATGTGCACAGCACACTTGAAAACCACTCCATGTGCACTGCATGTGCGCGTTCCTTGGCCAGTTGCTGCATGCCCAAGGCTGGCTTTGCGCCCAGCCTTGGCCTTTGACACTGCTCCCGCTCAATGCCATCGCCACAGCTCGTCGCCCATGACTTAGCCGCACGCCCGCCCGCTGCAACAGTTGCTTGTTCTTGTCAAGTCGCCCCTACTTGATCATGTCTGCCCTTTGCCAATGCCAAGCTGATTTTGGCATCAAGTCACCAAGCCATGATGCCATTCCCTTTGCTAAGTCGTTTGCCCACAAGTTCCTTAGGTACCAACCCGCTCACCTAAGTCATGGCAACATCATATTGCCAATGCCACTGCCTTGGCACTAAGCTGTCTCACTTTAGCACCTAGGTCTTTCCCGTTTTGCTTTGTCAAGCTTCCGTCCAGCCCGCCTAGTTCCGTCAAGGTCTTGGCCTTTGCTTGCACGCAGCCCACTCATGTTTTGGTGTAGTCCGTCACACCTTAGCCCTCAAATAGAAGCATAGTCCGTCACACTTGCCCTTGCAACAGTTTGTTGCCATTGACAACACCCGCATTGTCTTGCATGTTGATTTTCCCCCGCACATAGGCCAATGGCAAGGCCATCATGCCAAAATCCTTGCCACTGCCGCGCCGCTTGCCGATCAGCTTTGTCAAGGGTCTAACAGTAGTCTCCTCATTCAAATAAATACTCATCATCGATAACTAAGAATTATTTAGTTTTTTAAAGGTAAGATTTTGTATTTGTCGTGTATAATTTAATTGTTAGAAAAATTATTGCTTCTCTACATATTTTTGCCTTACAAGTTAAAAATATCTTTCATGTTTGTTTCAACTTTCAGAAGTAATATGATGTATATTGTGTGTGAACGCTTTGATAATAGCCTTATGTTACAAAGATTTGTTTGTCGGTTGATCAATAATTGCTTCTGTTTGCTTACATTTCTGTGGTTCCTGAATTTATATCAGCATATGTGTTCATTTTTCTTATTATTTTTGAAACAGGTCTTAGTTTTTCTTAATGACATCCTTGATTCTCTTCTAAAGGCGCTATCAGATCCCTCTGATGAGGTACTTCATACCGCTTTACTCTGCTTAAGATTAGTTTGCCTGGATGATGTCACTTTGCTAGGTTCACAGTTATGATCAATGCAAGTTATATTTCACATTACTTTTCTGCTGGACCTGGCCATGGCAACTTTGTTTTTCTTTGTGGATGTTCTTGTCCCTTTGTTGGCTTTATTCGTATCTTTGGTCTTGCCCTTGGTTTGCTGCTCTGATATAGTTTATTGTCAAAATTTGGTATTATAAGTAGTTCCTGTCCTTCTCTCTTTTGATATTTATTCTTGACCCTTCTTGATATTATTAGTGTTGATGCATGACAGCTAATTAGTGTTTCTAGATTGTCCCCGACCCCATGTTTTATGAAATGTACACCAGTATAATTTGGTATTGGTACAAAAGCTTGTAAATACTTGCTGTTTTGCACAATAACCAAAAAGCCTCTTGATTGTCTTCCTACACTTCGGCTTTTCTAATATGTAGAGTTTGGCTGTTATTTTTTAGTTTATTGCCATGAATATCTTCTATCTGAACAAGTTGAATTCATTCTTTAGCTGGTTAATCTTCATAGTTCAGCTTAGTGAACTGCATATTTCCATAAATGCCTGTCTCTCATATTTCGTCTTGACCCAGATTAGCCCTTACTTGTAAAGAAAATAAAAGGTAAAGACAATTGTATTGTAGCTGCTAGTTCTAATCTATGGTCAACCTCCTTTGGTTGGAAGGGTTTTTATTTGAAAGGGGGTGGGGAGGTCAGGGTTGGGCAGATGTTTTTGTTTTGTTTTTCGGTTTAGATTGATATTACTTATTTTTTTTTCAGTTATCCAAAAGAGAAGTCCTTAATTATAATAATAATATGCTCAACTGATTCTTCACATCCACTCATTCGAGGTTGCGATTGTATAGGGAGTTTCCTGTTATTGTGCTGAGAGTGTTAATTCTCTTTCAGGTAGTGCTTTTGGTGCTCGAGGTGCATGCATGTATAGCTGAAGATCCTCAACACTTCCGCCAGCTTGTTGTATTCCTGATTCACAACTTTCAGCTTGATCACTCACTTCTAGAAAAGTAATTGTTTTTTCTGTTCATTTTTGGGGTGTGATGTTGGTGTCTTTTCATTGTTTCTTAAGTGTTTTGAGATCCGTTTCTGTTAGCTTCACACCTTCTAATTTCCTCTCAGACGTGGAGCTTTGATAATTCGTCAACTGTGTTTCCTTCTAGATGCTGAAAGAGTTTACCGTGAGCTGTCTACCATACTTGAAGGGGAATCAGATTTGGATTTTGCATCTATCATGGTTCAGGTTTTACTTCTGACAGATGTTTATAAGGAGACTAACTTGATTCTAACAAATGGCACGAAATAATTATTACAGTCATTATGCTTTGTTAAGTATCACTGCTTGGAGAAACTTATCAAAGAACATATTAGAGAAACTTAGAGTTATGCAGCTCTCTTCGGGTCTGTAATGTTTGAAAAAGGGGCTGAGTAGTCTGCTGATTCCTATTTCAGGCCTTAAACTTGATTTTGCTTACTTCGTCGGAGTTGTCTGACCTTCGAGATCTTCTTAAACAATCACTGGTCAATGCTGATGGGAAGAACTTATTTCTTTCCTTGTATGCATCATGGTGCCATTCGCCAATGGCGATAATTAGCCTCTGCCTATTAGCTCAGGTAGGACAGGACTTTCACTTGTGTCTCTCCAAGTCTTTACCCCTTTTCCTATTTTTGAACAGAATAGACCTTGGTCTTGTATCTGTTTGGGATTACATTACAGGCATATCGACATGCAAGTTCTGTTATTCATTCGTTGGTTGAGGAAGACATCAATGTTAAGTTCTTAGTCCAACTGGACAAGTTGATCCACCTTCTGGAGACTCCAACCTTTGCTTACCTTAGGCTGCAGGTATTTTCAGTTTGTCCTTTTATCAAGTTGTTAATACTTGAAATTTTGTTTCCTTATGTTTGTTTATGGTTTTGGCAGAAGCAAGCGCGTCTTTTTTTTTTCTTGGGGATCTTGTAAATAACTTTTCACTTTGAGGGTTATTGTTGAAGAGGTAGTCCAAAATCAAAAGCAACTGAGTGTTTTCATCTCTCTTAGTGATATGTGCTTCTTTTATCCCAATTTAGGATGTAGAGACCAACTATTTCAGCCGGAAAAAATAGAGAGGCCAATGACGAAAACTGCTTAATGAAGCAAAAACGTAACATTTCTTTCCTTTGCTTTTAGAATTAAGTTGCATTCTGTTAGTTTTCACTCCTAGATGCTTCTGGATGCTTAGTATTATTGCATCAGGAATATTTTCTTCGCTCCTACAAGCACATGGCTCTACTTTCTAGTATGTTCGATGGAGCATGCCAAAGGACCAAAATGCTTCTGTAGTCTATATTTCAGATGCATCGCAAGTAAATGAGCAGGGGAAAACAACCTGGAGTAAAGCAGATTAAATTACTTCGACTATCTACTTCACTGAACAATCTTATACCAACATTTCATACAGCAAAAAGGCTGATAGATTACCAAAAAAATTCCCAATGTTTCACCAATAACACTTCTTCTGCAGGCCTTAATTTTTGCTCCAGATTCCAGATTGATGGTTCTGTGTGTGCAAATGAAGTGGGTGTGGACCTAATTTGAGCTATGCCTTTCTTTTCCATGGTGTCAGTTGAATTAACTCATAGTTTTTGTGTGGTTGGATGTACTGATTGTTCTAAACTTATTGATTGCATTACAACATTTTGGGGAGTTACTTATTGACTGTTTCCTTGCAGCTTCTTGAACCTGGAAGATACATATGGTTGTTAAAAGCCTTGTATGGTCTGCTGATGCTGCTACCCCAGGTGTGTTCTGAATTAGTTCTCTAGTGACTGCTTGAAACATTTGCTTAATATGTTATTTTTATTGAGTTCTTAGTCATTTATCTGTGCCTATTTAATATTATTTATTTATGTATTAAATTGCGCTTCACATGAAAAAAGTGCGCGCTTCGCTTTCCGCTTCTTGCTACGGTGAAGCAAGGCCTCCTCGCTTTTTTCCGCTTCTCGCTCTTCAAAACACTGCCTCGAGCAAAACAATGGTTCTCGACAAAGAGATACAAATCATCTCTGCTAATATCTCATAGGTGCTCCTAAAATGTACAAGAACATTAAAGTTTCTTTAATCTGTAACAAGGTATTTTCTACCTTTCAGTAGCTCGTCGGTTTTATTCTCTATGGATGGGTCAAAAAGTTCTACTGTTCTTGTGCCGAGGGTCTATAAGAAACAACCTCTCTATCTTCTTAAGGTAGGGGTAAGGTCTGCGTACACACTACCCTCCCCAGACCCCACTTGGGGGATTACATTGTTCTTTTTGTTGTTGTTGTTGTAGATGCGCCAAAAAGTGTGGGGCTCACTTCCCTTCTTTACTCCTTTTCCTCCTAAATGGCCAACTTTGCAGCATCCTTTTGAAGGTGTCTGAAGTGTCACTCAATCAAGCTCCTAAAAGTTCCAGGCTGTCTGCATAGCCTGTGTGCCACTTGAAAAATAAAGTAATAAGTGGTTCACATCATGCCCTGCCTTTTTATAAATGAAGCATGAGCTGACAAGCTTTTCCATGGTTTCATCAATGCAAGCGTGGCTTCCCCACTGAGCTAAATCACATTAAAAAGTATACCTTTCTTGGGCTTTGGGAACCCAAACTGAGCGAGAAAAATCATGTCCTCTGAAATCTATGATAGAATGACTACTGTGTAGTCGTCGTTACATATGTGTCTCCCATCTCGATTGTCTTCAAACATGATTGAGAAAGATTGAGATTTTTCCCTTATATAAACAGCTCGAGGAGGTTCTGGACCTCTTCAACTTCTCAGTCGTGCAGATTCATCTAAACCTATATACTGTGCTAATTTGTTGTATGTGGACAAGAAATCTTGCAAATTGCAGGGATGTGATTTTCTCTTTAGTGCTGCTTTATGATACAGTTATTTCTCTCAGAAAATTCTGTCTCCATAAATCAACCTGGGCTCCATGCTCCATCTTGAAGTTAATATTTTTGAAGAACTCCTATAATTTCAATATTTTTTTCCACAGGCTTCCACCACATGGCATGGTGGTCTAAGTAGTCCTAACCCACTTCCCGAGTCCCATAGTTGTCTGCTATGATACACACCTCCCATAATTTTTGAGATGGGTTTTAATATTTTTTTTGAGGTATATGACACCTCCCATAATACCTGATACTTTGTGTCAAGCCTCCAAATTCACTTTCTATGGCATCGCTAAAATCCTCATATCACTCACTCTTCGAACCCAGCTCTCTTTGCTGTTCATAACAATTCGCTGCCTCCACTTTAAACTTCTGACAACAATTGCAATGTTCTCCCTTTCAACCTAAAAAGACAACCTAAAAGTTTTTCCAAATCCTAGAATCTTTTGCCCACCCTTTGGAAACCTGAACTTTGCCCATTCGCATCTCGTTCTCGTCCCCATCATCTGTTTCCAACCCCTCAAAGTTGCCCCTGCTCCCTCTACCTTTTCGAACCACTTGCTCCTCTTATTACTGTCTTCTCCTGGAATTTCATCCCAGAGGTGTGACTTTCTTGCCACGTGGTAGCTGCTACCTGATTGTTGCTTTTTCGCTGCCAATGCACAGACTCTCGCCATTAGGGTTCTTCAGTATTTGGCCTGCTTCTTCCAACTTTTTCTCAATTTCCCATCATTTCGTGCCTAACCTTCTTTCTTTTGCAGTAAATAGGGTTTTCCAACCTGCTTATGGTGCTGAACTTGGATTTTGGATCTATGGCGCCTGGCCTATTTTGTCCTATTGCTTCGCCGCCCTCAAATAAGATTGGTAGTCTTCATTTGTTTCCTTGTGTACTCTGCTGGACTCTTTGACCTTGAAAATCAGTGGCAAGTAGTAGTTTGTCGAGTTGTCTCCAGCCACCTCCTGCTGTTTTTTTTGCTCCGTTCTCTATGGTCGCTTTCCCATTAACTTGATTTGGAAGCAAGAAGGCACCACAATATCGGTTGGACATTGTTGTTGGTTTATCAATTAAATTCTGCTGTGGGCTCTTTTAATTAGGATTTATGGGCCAGGCCAGATGTAAGTCCTTCACAACCTGAGTTGCTTTTCTGGGCATTGTGGAGCATGGTAGCACTGGGCCGTTCTTCCTTTGGCTCCATCTTTGTCTGATCTTTCCACGAGAGTCTTAAATATGCACCCTCCTTAGTTTTTCATCGTGACCTAACTGTAGAACCAAGACATTGCTCAACGACTTTGGGCTCTTTGTTTATCTTTTCAGTGTATTAGGTGTTCTTGTTGCCTCTTCCGTACACTCTCTCAATATATAGCATCAGGTGTCTATCTGACAGTTGGGTTGGATATTGTGTTTCTCGTACTTCTGCTGAGTAACAGATTCAATCTAGTCTCTCGACTCCATTTGAAGCCTCCATCATTCCATTTGTGACCAATTTTTCCGTGTGGAGCAGGGCGTATGTTTTGTCATTCGGCTATGTCCCTGCATTACAGGCTCCTATAACCGGCTTACTACCATTTATTGAGAGTTCTGACTTCTGATCGAATCTCCCAAGTAGGCAAGTTTTAGGCATTTTTTCAGGTTCTTTGTTTCACAAGTAGAAACAGAGAACATTAACTATGGTCTAATTCATTTCACATGACAGTCGTCGTTGAACAACATTACTGTCCAGGCAGTCACCTTTTTATTCAAAACGGAGCTCTTAGAATTTCTTAGATTCTTTGGTTGATTCACAGAAATGAACAAGTGGATACCTTGATTATTGTTTGAGGTTCTAGAGAGAAGCAAGAACTTTCGTTCTAGAAGTTCCTGCAGCTTCCATAATTCTTGAGAGACATTTATAAACATTGCATAAAAAATAGTCTCATCTGGCTTTCTCAAAAACGAAAAAAGAAAATTCTCATCTGGTATGTGTGTCCTAAGAGTTTCCTTGTATTAGCTTTTGTTTGCAAGTTTAGTTTCTTGAGTCTAATCTAATACAGTGCCATAAGTTGAGCATATGGTCGCATGAGTAATTCCGTGAGCTGTTACTTGTTTATATCGTTAGAATTGGTGTCACGGGCCTTGATTTTATGCTTAAAAGTGATCATAACTGCTTAATTTTTCATGTATAGTCATACTGACTACTCTAACAAAGAGCTAGTCAGAATATTCATTTTCTTTAAAGTGAATATTTGCTTATTGTCGCTCTCTTGCTTCTTCTGTATTATATGCGATGAGAAATTTACAATTAGTGAGACACATGTATAGTTGTGTGAGATTTTAAGTACATGACAAGTGTCTGATGCAGGCCCAGTATCTCCCTCGTCTCTTTACTCTCCCTCACCCAGCTCTTCACCCATAGATTTCTCCTTATTTCCTTCACTCTGCTTCCTCCTCCGGCTGGTCTCGTCAATCCCCTGTTGGCAGAATTGGCTCCAAGTAAACCAAATCTCCTTCAAAAAGCTCTCAGATCTCTTAAGAAGCCAATAGCTACTTGGTGATGTTGTATTAAAGCAAGGGAAAATGGTTAAAAATATCCCTCTACTATTTTTTGCTGTTTAGATATACCCTCCGTTATATTATCAGAATCGAATATACCCATACCGTTAAGCAAAGTTTCAAATTTGCCCTCAATTTAATGGACTGGACATGCGGAAGCTATTAAACTGAAGATCCAACCCTTGAATAAAAAGACCCAGCCCCATATCCTAACCCATAGCCCATTCGGACCTCTGCCCCTCCCATTAAAACCAGTAAACCCATAATCCTTGATCATTTATTCTCTTTCTCAGTAATTGCACAGACGTCCGACTGTTATGGTATGGAGTAAAAAACAAAATTAGATTTCATAACTAATCTACCAAACTGATCATGACAGAAAATTTAAAAGGTTTCCACTATAGCAACACAACATGATAACATAATCTTTAATTCCTCTTAAAGCCTGCTACTGACGGAGTTTGCTTAAAAAATTTGAAGAAGAGTTTTTTATAATAATTTTCAAATTCTTTTGAAGACTTTCAAAAAGAAGATTTTAAGATAGTTTGTGGACTTATGCAAAGAGGAAAAAACTTTTCTTTCTTGGTAGTATGCTCAAAACAATCTTGCAAAAATTTTAATTATTAAAAAATCAAAATTTTGTACCAAACACCACTAAATGAGCCAAAAAATCATAAAAACAATAATTAGCAAAAGTAGAAATGAAAAATAATACTCCCTCCGTTCCAATTTATGTGAACCTGTTTGACTGGGCACGGAGTTTAAGAAAAAATGAAGACTTTTAGAATTTGTGGTCCTAAACAAGTCCAAATGGGGCCCAGAGCATTTGTGTGGTTATAAAAGCTTCTCATTAAGGGTAGAGCTGTAAGTTTAAGCTAAATTGTTACCAAATTTAGAAATGGTTCATTCTTTTTGGAACGGACCAAAAAGGAAATAGGTTCACATAAACTGGAACAGAGGGAGTAGTATTCAGATCCAGAAATACACAACAGAAGGAATCGAAAAAGATCAGCAGGCCTAGGACCCAAACCGAGAAAACATTTTCACTATCATTTTTCTATATATTTTCTATGGATACATAAAACAAGAACCAAACCCATTTCAAGAAACATTGTTAAATTCAAAATTCTTCAAGCACAAGCACATGGATTATTAACCACAACAGCATCCTCTTCGCCGGTCCTTAGCAAATACCCAATTACTGCCCGTTGGATTAAATGATTTTAATGGGAGGTGAGGTTCGAATGGGCTATGGGTTAGGATATGGGGCTGGGTCTTTTTATTCAAGTGGTGGATCTTCTGTTTAATAGTTTCCACGTGTTCAGTCCGTTAAAATGAGGGAAAATTTGAATGTTTGCCTAACGGTAAGGGTATATTCGGTCGATAGTATAACTGAGGGCATATCTAAACAATAAATATTAGTAGAGCCGTAGAGGGCTATTTTTGGCCCTTTTCCCTTAAAGCAATATAGTTTGCCAAATCAATGAAGCCTGTTGTTTCAACTTAAACGTCCAAAAAGGAAAAAATTCATCTTCCTTTTTTCTACCAAACTAGAACCAAACTCTTCAAGGTCTCCTATTGGCAACCCATCTTTTCAGTTTCTCCACAACCCCATTTGCCGCTGAGAGTTCTTAACAGCACCACCCTTACTTTTACTCTATACACTATCCATATTTCAATTCCTTCCAAACCTGACATGATTTTTTATGATTTCTAGAACTTCATTACCCAAATCAAAATAGAGATGAGGTTGTGGGTAGTAGCATTCCCATTTCGGACCTTAAACTGGAGGATATGGGGATTGGGTGAGGTTGAAGAGAGAGAGAACATGGTGGAGAGGGTATGTGATGTGTCAACGAGTAAGAAAATTTGACGAGTGATGAATTAATCTCTACTTACAGTGCACTGGTGGTGGAGAAGGTAGGATATGAGAATGAAGATTGTGGGACCCACAATGTACACTTGTCAACTGATAAAAACGCTCACACATGACACAACTAATGCCAGTTGTGTGAGGTTTAATGTAAAATTTCTCATCATTGATGCTTACCTATCTGACATGTGATATGTGTGTGCCTGAGTCAAAAAAGAAATATTGCATGCCAAATTTCCATATCCTCATCACTATAATGCAATTATATGTGCTCTTGCTAATCTAAAATATCTTTTAATCAATTGATGCAGCAAAGTGCAGCCTTTAAGGTTCTTCGCACTCGTTTGAAAACTGTGCCTTCATACTCCTTCAAGGAAGAGAGATTTAGGAGAACATCTGGGATTCCTTATTCTCAATTTAATTATGGAGGAGGAGGCTCACAAATCTCTGAGGATGGGGACCTCAATGAAAATTTGCATGACATGCATAATGGTATAAACTTTGCTTTGAAGCTGCAGCAGTTTCAGCAAATTCAGAAGCAACATCATTTGCATTCAAAGTCACAGACTCAATCACGTTTTGTTTCTACTTCGTGGACGAAGGTTTTTCTCTGCTTCCTTTGTCCACTTCTTTGCTGATGCTTTTTCTACTGATTTTACGGAGAATGCTTGACTTGCATATTAAGCTTTACGGGTACTTGTTCAAAGGGGAACTAAATTTCTGACATGACTAATTTTGCTCAAGCTGTCAGAAAGATAGATGACTGACAGATTTTGTATAAGTCAGGGAAGGGGCACAAAACAAGATATATAATTATATGCTGGGACTGCTGCTATTCTGTTTTTCATTCTCTCCTCTTCCCTATTCAGGAGGTACAAATAGCAGAAGAATCAAAGCGAGCTGCTTCAGAATTGAATAGGCCCCCTTCAAGATCATCTGGTAGAGGCTTGGGACAGTTGCAACTCTGACTGTTTTCTTCTGCCTCCTAATTGAGTTGATTATATGGTGATCACAGTACCTCATAAGTTGTAAATTATCGTAGTAGTTGTTTTCTCAAAAATTATTAGTGTTGAGATGGAAGAGGGGAGGGGAGAAATGGGTATTAATTTTTTGGCTTGGATGCACTTCTTTTTCCTTTTGAAAGAATATTTAAGGGATGGATTTTGTCCATGTGGTTCTATTATTTTTGTTGAATACCATATGGGCAAAGCATGTAGGTTCGTAGGATATATGAACAGTTCGTTTTACTCATAATTCTTCTGTTATAACATACTACAACAACCCAGGAAAATTCCCCTTGTGGGATCTGGGAAATGTTCAATTTCCCATTCATACAATGGTTTAAAAATAAATGTTCAATTTATTCAGCATGCTCCTACCGAATATGTATGCGTAGATTCCTTTCTTGCATATTGGGACATGAAAGAATTTTGAAGCTCTCAGAGTTTCAGAACGCAATTCTTGTTAGTTTGGTTGTGCGAGACATCTCATTCCCTCGGCATGTGCCAGCCTTTGGATTTGCACAGTACCCGCTTCTACAACGAAACTGCTCCCCCAAAAATCGAAGCTGCTTCCTCCCCGCCTTCCCCAACCCTTCATTTTCTTCTTGTTCTTACAAGTCCTCCCCTATCGCTTACTGCTTTACCCTACGCCCACGCGACCCCCCTTTTCCTCCTTCTTCATCTGAAACTTCTCTCCCATGAGCAAGCAATGGTGGCCTAGCCATCTGCAGTGCAAATGGGATCCTGATTTAACTTTATAATTTCTGGATTTTGCATTGTCCATATTAACCTATCTATTGCTCCTGTAGTGGAAGCAGGAATAAATAATATAATATGTACATTATCTGACTCAAAATTAGCGAAGAGATCTGTATTTTCCATATATGCCATCTTCTTTAATTAAGTCAGAGGCTTTTAAATTTATTCATATTCGCTTTGATAGATATTGGGATAAATCCATTATTATTCGGAATCCACGGGTCATTTCATATACTTAAATTCTTCCCTTATGAAATTCTCCACCTCAACCCCTTGATTAGTAAATTATGACTTCATAAAATTCTTTGCTATATCCAAGATCCATAATCAGGATGCATTAAAATTCTCCAGACTTGTTGAATTAATAAAGCCATATTTAAGTTTTGTATCCCTAAAGTCTAATCCTCCTCTAGATTTAACATCATATAGCTTATCCTATTTCTCAAAATGCATTTTTCTCTTATTCTCTATTTGACCCGACCAAAAATTAGGAAAAAGAGTTGTAATTTTCTTACATAGACCATTCGGAAGTTGGAAGCAAGATAATGCATATGTGGCAATAGCCGAGAGTACTAACTTAAGTACTAATTCTTTTTTCGCAATAATAAAAAGACTTTCATTTCATCCTTTTGTATTCGCCTTAACTCTTTTTTTAATAAACTTTAACATCTTCTTTTTTGAGCATCCAACAAACATTGGTAGTCCGTAGTACATGAGTACATTCCCATCTTATTCCTTTGTACTAGTCCTATCAAAGTACACATTTGATTCTTTTACTCCTTCAGGATATTTGTACTAAAAAATATAGCAGATTTATCTCGATTTATCATTTGTCAAGAACTTTGCTCATTATTCCTTAAGATAAACATTCATCGCATTCCTAATATTAATTGGACAAAATATGAAAGAGTCGTTGGCAAAAAATAAGTGGATGTCACGACTCAAAATTCACATAACCGTAATGGTACCTAACCCTAGTGCTAGGTAAGCCTGACATAGAATAAGGTTACCCAAGTGAAAGATCGATAACAACAAGAATAAAAACAACTGAATTTTACACAACTTCTCAAGGTCTGGTAGTACAAGTCATGAGCCACTATAACTTAGATTTAAAAAATTGACAATAAGAATAAATACAATATCTGTTTGAAGTTTGCATAAACAGAGATGAAATCCTAAACTACCGTGAACAAGAGGTAGCTTGAATATGGAACGCAGGTACGTCTTCAATGCAAGGCTCCGTCTTCCACAGCTACGCAACTCCAAGATTTGCACGCAAAGTGCATACTACTAACCTCATGTACTCAGTAAGTATCTTAACTAACCTCGGTGAAGTAGTAATCAGGTTTTAAGTTAAAGATACTCACTAGTTATTTTTACCTGTGCAGATGATAAAGAGAAATAGAGAAACAAATAACCACATAATGAACGAAACAAGAATATAAATGATAGAGGGCCACATAATATCATCACCACTCAGTCTCACAACATTATACTGTAACATAAACCAACAACCAAGAATAACCATAATCATTTTCTCCGTTGCGGCGTGCAACCCGATCTCATATATAATATTAATAGCGTTGCAGAGTGCACCCTATATATATAAGAAGTGTTCATACGAACTGATTCTACAACAACTAAGCACGGGAAATTCACAATGTAACACCAAGAAAACTAACACGCGAAGATCAACTAGGAATACAAACTCAAACAAAGTAAGATGAGAAACACAACAACCTAGAGATATTCCCACATATAAGACAAAGCTTACACAAGGCATAAATACTCAACCAATTTAAAAGTCACCCAATCCGGCTAGGCAAAGAAGTGTAGAGCGTGAAACAAAGAAGGATGTATGTTAAGTTTTAACAGGTATCAAGTAGAGGTGTGTAATAAGTGAATCATGTAACAAGTGGAGTCATATAGCAAGTAAAGACATATAGTGCGTGAAGACATGTAGCAAGTGAAGGCAGGTAACAGGTCAATACATCTAATAAGTAAATCACGTAACAAATGGAGACATGTAACATGTACGAACTAATAACAAGTAAATGCATGAATTCAGAGAGGACATGTAGCAGTTAATAAAGTGTAACCGTATGAGCAACAATAACAGACAAGGTAGAGACAAAGATATAATAGTAACATATCAAAGAAGGCATAACGTCATTTTTCAAACCAAGCAACATCTAGGATTTTGCATTGATTCACATTCCGGGCAAGTTCTAAACTCAAATGCAATACATGGACTATACTAAGAACTCACTTCACACATGGAACGTGAATCACTAAGGATGGTCCCATTATGACTCTTAAATCAAGTAAATATTCATAGATCCAAGAGATATTAAGCATAAAGAAGAAAGTGAACACGATTCAAGAAACAAGACATAGGCTGTTACACCCCAAGCTTTCGTACGTGAGAGCACGTCATAAGTTAATTGATGTAAGATCAGAAATGAGATTATATTTGGAAGTACATAAAGTAAGTTAATAATGTTACCTTGGAGGTTACAAATATTTAAGATCATGTATATTAAGTACCAAGAGGGTTGGAAAGTTTAGAAGCTAAATGAATTGAAGAAAATAAGTTTCACCGAAAGTTGACAAGTTTGGAATGTTATAACATGTAATTTCGGGGTGATACTAGGGTTCTTAACATGATAAAGGAGGTTACGTTATGAGTTATTTTAGTCGTATGATAGTGGTGTATTAAGTTTTGAAGTCAAGCGAGTTGTGGAACAAAAGTTGGCAAAGGTCATCACAAGTTACATTCATAATGTGCTGAAAATTAGGTCAAATGTAGCTATGCATTTCTCCCAATATACTTGGAATTAAGGAATGATCGACATACCGAATTGAAGGTCTACGAGTGTAGTCTCCAACGAATTAAACTGTTTATCGATACAACATTGGAGTAGAGAGATATTTACATTTTCGCGAGACTGCACAAGCAGCTCCCATGAGACCTGCTTAGGTGGTGGGCGATTCTCCACCCTTTAAAGATTGGGGAAAGGCTCATTTGGGGTCATTATTGGACCCAACATAACCTATACTCTCCCAAAACACTCTCAAAGCATTCTCCTTGATTCTAGAGTGAAACCCAACGCTAAAAATCTCGTGGTGCTTCCTGGATCGTAGTTCTTAATCTTGTGGCTGTTTTGGAGGATCCTTTAAAGTGTTGTAACCTCAGATTATGTGTATTGATTAAGGTATGAATCCCTCCCTCCCTCATATATATTAGAGTTTCAAGAAAAAATACAAGTGTTTACACACCAACTTGAACACCAAAAGTTGATTCAAGAAGAGAATACAACACCTATAATGTTGTGGTGTCATTGAGGATAGTTGTGGGCTGTACTTGGCTGAAATTTCGTGTTTTTTCTATTGGTTAAGGTGAGTATAATATCCTACTACATGTGTTTGAAGTTTTTTGTGTGTTGGTTGCATTATTTGAGCAAAATACTACAAGAGAAGACTTGAAATAGTTTGAGATATTATTATTTTTAATGGATTGTTTTGGAAAGGTTGTTTCCATGAACTATAAATGGTTGGAAACCCTATAAAATGAGTCTCTTATGATGTTATTATTATAAAATATTATGTACATGTCAAACTTATTGTTGGTACTGTGAGTATGAAGAAAAAGGACAACATAGCAATGGAGAGTTGTACTTGTTGTTAAATTGTTGGGCTGTTTGAGGGCGAATTAGGAGATGAATAGGAGGTTAGAAGTCCTATCATTTTACTTAATATCATGCTGGCTATGTTGTTAAGTTAATGAATGAATGACTTTGGGGTTAAAGGATTCAAAAGGGATTCAATCTGAGCTTGTCGTTTGTCGTGTTAAATAGTAGTTTCATTAGTGATGTTTATGCACTTGTTGTTGTGTAGCTTGATTTGTGTTGTGGTGCTGAAAGTATATAGGTGAAGGTTGTACGGGTTCGTTTTGGTTGATGGACTTGTTAAAGTAAGGAAAACAGGGGAGATGCTGCCCATTTTAATATAAAAATAAGCTTGTCGTTCGTTGTACGATAGTTGCATCTTTCTTAGCTTAACGATAGCATTATTCTCGTTACTGTAGATTGAAGGGCGACGAGAGAAGTTCCTATCTTTTATTTTTTACTAGTTTTTCTTTTGCATTTTAAATTTCCGCAATAAGATCTTCAATGTTCAAAACAGTTATGGAATTTATCAAAGCATTTCAATTTTCCTTATAAATCAACACTCTTATTATTTTCTCTCATTACTCTACTTATACAGCATTACTATTACTTATCTTGATGAACTGATGACTGTGACATGCAATGAGGCAACGCAACAAACGGATATAGATTCAGACGAAGATGACATACCGGAAGAGATTGTTAAGGAAGTTGAGAATTTTGAAAATAGACCAAAGTCTAACCCGGACGAGACGGAAATTGTTAATCTGGGGGATGAAGAGAATGTCAAAGAAACACGAATCAGCGTTCACTTATTGTCATCAGAAAAGAAGGAATACACAGAATTTCTAAGAGAATATGAGGACATATTCGCCTGGTCGTATGACGACATGACGGTCCTGAGCACGTCTATTGTGGCTCACAAACTGCCAACCGATCCGACATGTC